TAATGCAAACTGAAGGTTGCGATGGTGGCGCAAGAACCAGTGCTGTACAATGGCTCCGTTCGCTACAACATACTATATGGGTGTGATTGGGCTACCGAAGCAGATATGCTTCGCGCAGCTCATACAGCCAATGTGCATAACTTTGTGATGGAGCTCGAAAAAGGATACGACACGAATTGTGGCGAAAAGGGTGTACAGATGTCCGGTAAAGATTTTGGCATTTTCTCCCATTTTCCTTAATTTTTCTGTTTTGTTTAGGAGGCCAAAAACAACGTATTGCGATAGCTAGAGCATTAGTAAGAAACCCTGTGGTACTAATTCTTGACGAAGCTACATCAGCCCTCGACGCTGAGTCTGAAGCATTGGTTCAAGAAGCATTGAATAGGTAAGAATTTCTATTGGTTTTTGTTTTGTGTCGCATTATTCATTTTCTTTGTTTCTTTCTTTTTGTTAGCTTTTCTTGAACGGTAAAACGCCAGAGATAGTGCACCTTAAGAAAAAGGACTTTTGATCATCCTGCTCTTATACCGACCGTACTCCTTGTAACATCTTTTAAGATTGTTCCAGTAGATATTTTGGTTTCTGAGCGAGCAGAGGCACTTTCGCTTGAGGATAACATCATGTTGATTCTGATTATTCTCTTACACTAGGAATCGCTAATTATGATGGGGAGACAAATTGCTGCTGTCAAAAGATCTCTTTTTAAATTTTATCCCTAAAGTAACATTTTTCATTAGTCTCGCATCACGCTGGATTTCAGGTGCGCACGTGAACGAACTGTATTAATAGTTGCCCATCGGTTGTCGACCATAGAAAAAGCGGATCAAATAGCAGTGATTAATAAAGGATCACTAGTTCAGGTACGTCAAATGCGTTCCTGCTCTTTGTTTTACAAAATTGTCCCATTTTTTGTTGTTACATTTGGGACAACAAGGAATGCGACAATTTTTTCGAACTAAACGCGGCATTTTAATGCACTTTGTCATATCATTAGTAGATCTACTCAATTCCGTTCCTCCTTTCACCTCATCAAGTGACACTTTCTTTTAGATAGGAAACCATACAGAACTGATGAAAGATGAACATGGGCTGTACTACTCGTTAGTATCAAAACAACTACTTGCATCAAAGATTAAAGGAGGATCGAAATAGTACTACCTTGTGTATAGATCTCACATCATCACGCATTAGGTTTTTGACTTTTCTTTTTTAAATTTTGAAATTTGTTGATTGTTTAACATCAGGTTAAGCATCTTGTCGCTAAAATTTCTACAATTACGGTGTTCTTTGTGATTGTCGGGAATTCTGTACTATCAAAATACCCTATCAAACCGATTCTGTAAATATTCTCAACTTCTCGATGTTTGTGGATCCTCATGTAATATCTCGCTCACATAATATTTATTTAAAATTTTGGTATTTGTGATCTTGGCTTTCTTCTTGTAAACTTTAGTTATAATATGCATCATCGTAAATGCTAATAGTTGATTACTTTTAATAATGTAAATCGATCGTCTCAGCGAACCTTATGTGGGTGATTTTGTACAATAGATAGGTGACTCCTCTTCTGTCTGTAATTCATTTGGTACATTAATAAACTTCGAATCATTTCTTATTCTCACTTGCATTATTGGAAATAATCCAGTTATTACAATGCTCATGTAAGTCATAGAAGTTCTACATTGCTAAGCAAACTTACTTTACTTCTCATCCATAAGTCTCTAACATAGCGCTCAACTAAGGATGGCTTGGAAGTTGCTGCTTTTTTATTGATAGAAGTTGAGAAGCGGAGTCATGCGAGAATTGTTCAACCACAATCCACTAATCGTTGCATATAATTCGTTTTGGAAACAGGATCGCATGAATATCACATTCGCAAAACTTTTGATTCCTCACCACTATGCTGCTGGCCTTTCAAATGCATTCTATCTCACGTACTGGTAACACTCACCACCTATATTTGCGGCCTGTTAGGTTGATTCAAAAGTTCTAAAAACTTCCTAGTCAAAATCTTCAATTATTGTAAGAAAAAACCAAATATCCTTGATCTTTGCAATTTTTCCTTTGTATTTTACGCTACTTCACGTTCATCTAAAGTGCAGGCCCTGGTTATATCGGTTTTGAAAGTGCCGTGCATCACCCATTCTTAAGCGA